AGGCAAAAGACCAAGAAGTAACTTAAAGATGAAAATGTATCAGTGAGAGAGTCTGTGTAATTATATCAGCAAGTTTAGATGTTTTTTTGTTGTTGAATCAGTGAAATGTGCCAAAGGGCGGGGTTTGCTTTTTGAACGTGCGGTTCAAGTGTTAGCAAACTCGACTAATAACTTAAAATACACTTAAATACAATACAACACAATACAATGAATGTAAACACCGCCTCTTAGCACATTTCACTGATTCAACAAATAAAACCGTTTAAACTTGCTGATATAATTACGATACTATTTCTGTACATGTTAAAGTATTGATGGAAAATTTAAACCTAGTGTGCAAGAAACTTTACATAAAAATTTTGGTACAAGTGATTTATTTTCCTCGTGTCCATCCGTGCTGTCGTTCAGGGTATTGTTTTCATACTACTAGTTCTTAGCGTATTTTTAGTTAACGTTTTTCTTAGTTTATATCTTAAATCTTATTACTGTTTTCGTTTTACATTTTATACTTTTATTGGATGTAACTGGGACCCTGTATTTCATTCCACCACATGTACCACATGTGGTGGAATGACAAATAAAGAACCTTGAATCCTTAACAGAATGTCTGTTGTGTCACTTATAGATACATGTAACATGACAGGTGCAATTTGTAAGCATGTCAGAACAATGGTTAGTCATGATGCTTATGTTGTTTATAATACAATAATAATAACAACAATAAAATAGTAGATGTTTAATGTTTCTGTGTTAAAGATGTGCTGCACTAGCTGTTTGGTGTGTTTCTGTTCTGGGCTGTTGTTTAGTTTCAGACAAACTTGTCTGAACGTGCAACTCTAAAGCTGATCAAAGTGAAGTTGTAACGAGTCACGCATGTCCACAGTCATGAATGTATCACGAGAAAAAAGACAAAAAGCTAAACAGGTGTTTGTTTCTAGAGTACAACAACAACAAACAAAAATAAAGTTTTAGCTTATTAGCTCTTGTCCTTACTTCGCTTAGAAATCGACTTCCAAAGGGGCTTCTAAAGCATTCAGTTATTTATTTATTTGGGTTCAGGCTCAAATTAAAGTGAAGAGATGGACTCTAGGTTATCTTTACGAGAACACTCAGGCAGAAAGGCAGAAGTCCAAGCATGTGCGAGTGTGAGACTGAGAGAAGTCAGCTGTAAGGGGTTGACGCTGCGCTGTGGCAGTCTGTCCCTGCTTGCAGGCTGCTGGTGCTGCTTCTTATCACTGGATGGAAGGAGATCCCTGCACAGTACGTACACTGTTCTTGTTTCCAGCCTGTGTGTTGTGTCACTCTGTAGGCTGAGGCTTCTGGTGATGTGTCCAATTTGTGCTTTGAGGATGATCTGCAGTGATGTGCCGAGACTTTTACTCAGCTTTGATATGTGCAGACAGAGTGTCTTGTACTCCTGTAAGTGGTAACAGAGCTTACAGGGGGGGGAGAGCCAGCACTGCAGATGGAAACACGCTATCAAAAAGCTGCATTTAGACCACGCTAGTACGAGTTTTTTAATTTGTACTTACGTATGTGATATAACTAGAGGAAAACTTTCCTGTGCATCATCATAGAGATAGATAAATAATAATATATGTAATGTATCTGTGTGTTTCTGCAGTGATCAGACCCCCCAGTGTCTCGAGTGAAGATGATTCCTGTGCTGATCTGCGCTTTGGTCTCCCTCAGTGTTGCACAATCCAGCTTAAACAGTCTTTACCCTAACCTGGAGCACTCAAGAACCATTTATGTCTTAGGTAAGTAAGCTGTGTCTTTGTGTTTCACTGAATCAGGGAAAACTTTGAAAAGTGTCTTAAAGAATCACAGCATCCTACACTGTGTTTGGTTCATGGCACGCTCTGCAGCTCTGTTCATCTTCTTAATTTATCAGCACGCTCTGCCGCTGTGAAGATAACTGCTAAATATGGCA